TATAGGGGCCGGCCTAGTGGCATAATGGTTAAGTGCACACACTCTGCTTTGGCTGCCCAGGGTTCATGGGTTTGGGTCCCAGGTGCAGACCTACACTCCACTCATTAAGCCATGCTGTGGCGGCATCCTACTTACAAAAAATAGAGGAAGATTGGCACAGATGTTAGCTCAGGGACAATCTTCCTGGCAAAAAAAAAAGAAGAGTAAATATATTTAATATATCTTACTGAAATTTGAATCAAACAACTGTGGAACCCTTGACCCCAGCCTAACACAATTTGGAAACCAATTCCCAAGGAAGGGAAACTGAGATGAAGAGATGTGACCTGTTCACGGCACAGAGGAAGTCACCGTCCACGTAGGGAACAAAAGCCAGGCCTCTGATGCCCCAGGTGACCGTTCTCTCCCTTGGACTGAAGAGGCAGGATTGGGAAGAACCTTCTGACATATAGCCTCAGACAGGTGACCTAGGGGCATGACATCAACCCTGGGAACAAAACCATTATCCCCGTCCCATCACTGCCCAACCTTGATTGTCATCCTTCCCTTAAAGACAGAGCTGAAGCTGAGAGCACCCAACCGCACCCCAGTGAGAGGGAGGTGTGGATTTCCGGGGCTTGGTGTGAACTCGGCAGAGTGGCTGCAGTGAGTGACAGCTGGGACAGTTGGGGGTCCTGGTCCGTACTCGGGGGCCACGGCACCTGCTTCCCAGCAAAGTCAGGATTAGAGAAGCTGATGCAAGAGGGAGAGACCCTAAGGATCACAGACCCCTTTTCCATGTGCTTGCACTAGGCTCTCCTTCATGGTCATCTGGTGGGGCAGACTTCAGTAGCCTCCATCCACCCCCTGGCTGGCCAGGCTCACCCCTACACCTGTGTGCGGGCGGGGGCCCTGGCTTCTCCCGGAGTTGCCTCACCTGCCCCTAGGAGGCTGCTCTTTCCTAACGACTTAGGTGCCATGACTCCAGGGGACCAACGAGCTGGACCTGGGCTCACGGTTTCCTGGGGAGGTCAGCAGAGCCCAGGAGAAGAGAGGGGGTCAGTGCCGAGGCCGACCTTCTTTTCAAGTCACACTCTGGTGCTCAGAGTGGAGCAGAAAAAGCCACCGAAGCAGTGAGAAGCCCTGGACTCATGACTACTAGGAGCTCATCGTCAGCCAGCTGTCGAGTGCTTTACGTACATGTCCTTGAACCCTCCCTCAGCCCCACGATCAGCTGGGGAGTTCTTACCCCCTTGCTGTGGATGAGGAGACCGAGCTACAGAACATGAAATAACTTGCCTTAGTCACAGTGAGTGGAGGAGTCAGGACTCAAAGCCAAGCTTGAGTGTCCACACGTTTCCACCTTACCCTCCGCTGCCTTGGGTGGGCTGACGTGCTAGGTCCCTCTAGAACGGGGTTTGGGTGTCCCTTTCACGCTCACCTGTTTCTGTCCACAGGAGAAAGGCCAGCAAAGCGGGCAGGTGTGGCAGTCAGCCTGAGGGCTGCGCCTGGCTCTGCCACCTCCATCGCCATGGCATGACTGGTGAGGACCTGTTCAAACCTACTCCTCATCTCTAAAACGGGCCCCAAGAGTAGGGGCCCTCAGAAGAAGGTAAGATATAGCGGACTCTCGTTGTTTGTGGTAGTTCTGTTCTAGAAAGTCACCGCAAACCAAGTTAGAGAATCCTGAACTGTTGCTCCCAGGGGAAATACCTAGCTGGGTTCCTTCGAGCCAGTGGTCACAACATTTTCACCAACCAGTCAGTACATAACCTTGTTCTATGTGTGTTTCTGTTAAAAAAACCCACCTTATTTAATATGTGTTGTCAACTCTTCAACATTTAGCTCGCGGCCAACAGCGCTGTGACTGCGGCCCCAACGAGCTTGTCTGACACCTACTTGTCTATTTTCCCTGTAAGGCGCGTCATGGCCTTCTCATGCTTAGAAACACTAGCCAGCCCGACGCTTAGGGGCCATCTTAAACAGCAAAATCACCAACAGAAAGCACAAAAATGCAAACACCGGGGCAGTAAACAGAGCGTGAGAAGGACACTTGCTCACAGTAGGAGAGCTGAACAAGACGGCTGGGGGCTGGGCGCACGCGAGTCAGCCCACTCAAGATTTTTTGCTGCGAATGATCGCAAAAATGTGCTGAGTATTGTTACTAAGCTTACAGAGAAATCTTAGTGAGTGGGTGAATTTGCAAATACGGAATCGCACTTAATGATCTTCCGACCGTAATACACTTGCAAGGCCTGGCCCATGGTCGACACTCAACGCTAACTTTTAGGGCCACTTACCCATCCTATCAACTACCTCAGTTGGTGACGACCGCGGTATCTCCCCTTCTGGACGGTGAGCTGCCATGGGGTGCTGTGACACTCTCGATAGACACCCTACAGGAGCACAGCAGAGAACTGGAGCCCCTACACGCTTGTGTGAATAAGGACGGGTCACTGAGCCTCTGACTCTGAGCTGTCACCTGTAAAATGGGACCAGGCCTGTCCACCTCCCAAGGTGTGGGGACCCCCATCCAAAGAGATGCCTGGAAAGGGCTGGAGCTCCCTTGCTGGAAGCTACTCAAAGGCCCTGAGGACAAAGGCCGCAGAGAGTCCCACTGTTTCCGCGGTTCATTGATGACTGCTGTCTTCACTTCCCCTTCCACCTCACACAAGACGCAGACCCAGGGCCAGCACCCCCTTTGGAATTCAGTGTCAAGCCACTTTCTGGCCATTAATCTCTAAGAGTCTATCAGGACCATTTGCATTAGCCCATCTTTAAAAACCCCAGCTGGGCCCCAGTGGACCAGAAGTGGAGCTCGACAAACAGTAGCCAGCTCCATGCTGAGGTTCCATGGTGTCCAAACGCCCTCTTGGGCCTGCCACGTGCCACCTGTGTCCGAGCCAACCCTACTGTGGGAGCCCAAAGACATCATGCCGGCCGCCACTTGCAAAGGACACTGGACAGACAGTGCCTACTACCTACAGAGAGGCCGGGGGACTGACGAAGGCATGCGGCCTGGAGAACTTCCCACCCCTAGACCAAGCTCTTGGGTGGGTAGGGAACAGCCCAGCTGGGTCCTTGAATACTGAACCCAGGCGGCTGGCCGAGGCTAAGCCTGTGTGTGGGGTGGAGGGCGGGAGGCAGGGCGAGAGTTCTGAAGACTGGACTGGACACCTGCCCCGTCCCCCACCCCCCGACTGTCCTCTCAGTGATGACCATGCAGCTTTCTTAATGGAATGTGATCGCTGAACTTGGTGCATTTCGAGCACTCTAGCCTTCCAGGACGGCAGACTGCTGAGGAAACCATCTTCCGCGGGCGCCATGTTAATGAGAGGCCCAATTTCATACGCTTGCAAACTTTCCTCCTGCCGCCTGCTGCACTGCACCCCGCCTCCCCCCTCAATAAAAGGTTGCATCAGAGAGAGAGAGAGAGAGAGATTTCCATAATTTATAGTATGGGCATTTCACTGGGGACGAACGCTAATCTGTACTTACCGATACATTTAAGAAAATGCATCCTCCCACAAGCCAGCGCCATTTATGACTCTTGGCACAAACCGCAATGCTCAGTCTTCAATTAAGGGACACCTTAGGGTTCATTATCACACAGTCGCTCCCTGTGAACCATGCCAAATGCTGTTTTGGCACAGAGCTTGGAAGATGAATTAGAAGGAAGTCTGCTCTGTAATGCCCTCTCCCAACTCCCATTACCATCATCAGCACTCATGCCCTCCTCCTGCCCGACCCCCTCCTCCCTTCCAAGGGGCTTTTACTATTCAATTTCTCAATGTCAAACTCGATCCTCTAGAGGTGTAGTTAAAGACGCCACATCTCCTTTTTGTCTTCCGGCCCTCAGCAGGCCTCAGAATGGCTGCAGATGGGCTGTCTCCACACCCCTTTTCGGCCAAAAGGAGCCACAGATGCTCTTTCCCCCTCCTCTTGGAGCTTGGGGGAGAGAAAAGAAAAGGGACCAGAACTGGAAATGCACATGAGCACGGGCCGTGAGGACGGTTCTGAGCAGGATCCTAAGGGTGCCATGTGGCTAAACTCGGAGATGAGGCCCAAGCACGGCCCCAGAGGAGGCAGGGAGCTCCACGTACCAGCGCCAAGGGCTGTGCTCAGAGCCCGCTGCTGCAGTCACCCGGAAGGCGGAGAAGCAAGGAGCGCAAGGCCGAGCTTCACTCCTCGCCTCAGTGTCCCTCTAGCACAGGGCCCACACTCTGTGACAGTGTGTCCCCAAACCACAGGGCCCTCTGTGAATTAAACCTCTGGGTGAGGACACCCCCTTCTGGTTTCCTTAATGAAAACAACAAAACAAAATGAGCCCATTTGCTGGCACTTTCCAGCCCTCCCAGAAACCCAGTGTCCCCCAGCAGGCACGGGGCTGAGAGAGAACAAATGCCACCCACCACAGCCCCAGGCCGGGCCCAGGGACAGGAGGAGTGAGCCACAGCCAGCCGCAGCCAGACACACACACCAGGCAGGGTGGAAGGAAGCGGTAGCCACACGCATCAGGCCGAAAGCAGACGGACCTTAGGTCCCAATTTCTGGGGTGGTCCCGTGTGCCAGTGAGGTGTGTGGGGACACGTGTACAAGCGAGAGGGCAGAGGGGCTGTGGTGACTCAGTCACAGGAAGTGTGTGGCTCCGGCTGCAGAGCTGATGACAGCCTCTGTCTTGTGACTCCCTTAAACGACTCTTCCAGCTCTACTCGTGATGACAGCGCTTCTGTGAGAGGACCGTTACTGACTTCTCGGTGTCACCCACGTCAAGAGATGCTCAGATGTGACAGGTAAGAGGGGCTGGTGGTAACCAAGGCTCTCACATCAAACTGTCAAATTACACAAAGCCGTTAAAATAAAATTAGCTCAACGAAGCAGCTAGAAATCTAGGTTGTGCAGGAACTAAATTGAGTGGACACAGTGCAAGATGACCGGCTGAGGAGCACAGAGACCCTCTCTGTGTCAGGGGCAGCGGGCAGCGGACCAGGGCGGAGCGAGAGAACAGAAAGCAGACAGACTAAAAGGACTGCGCCCACAAGGCATCTTGTGGGAATTTTATTATATAGAGTGTAAAAGGAATTGTCAGTCAAATAAAAAGAACACTTTTTCTTTTAAAACAACATGCATAACATTTTCCAATTGCCTTTTTTAATAGTTAGACATTTCAAGCATTATAAGGAAAATACGAAGAAAAAACCAGAAACTGTAACTTCAGTACATTTCAAACGGAATGTCCCTCAGGTCAATTAAAAATGCAAGAAAAAATAGCTTCAATTCCGTTTTTCTTTCCTTTAAAAATACATGTTATCTGTACAAGATACACTACAGTAAACATTGGAAATCATATTATCCCTTTTATTAAATCAAAATTATTTAATTCATATTGTGGTTAATACTAGATTTATTTATTCATCTAGTTAATTTGACAAATATTAAGAAAATATTTAAAAGAAAAAAGCAAAAAACACCTTGGAATTAAAAAATAGTTACATTTTTATGCGGCTTAATGTTCCACAGTGTTTGTTAAAAGTTATATCGAATTTCTTTTTAATATTAAAAATAACAGTATTTATATTTCTGAGAGAAGAGAGCAAAGTTTTTTGTTTTGTTTTTAAAACAAGCTTGGAGGTCTTAGACACACGCTCGGAAGTGGTAACGGAGACACGAGGAGACGGATGCTAAACGCACAGACACATCTTTATATTACCTTTAGAACTCTAGAAATTATACAAACCCTACAAAACGCCCCCTCCCGACCCCTGGTGGACAGCAATACAATTATCTGTCTCAATTCAGAATTCACATAATTAATTACAATACATAATAGTTCAGTTTTTAAAAAATGCAATAAAACCAGACAGCCAAGATACAAGAAATTAGAAGTAAAACATTTAACGAATTTACACATTTAAGAATATTTAAATACTGTTTAAAAATTTTTTAAAAGAATTTGTTACATACCACCTAAGACTTCCAAGCCACTTTCCGTTGCAACAGAAAAAACTGTAAATAAAAAGACACGCAACAAAACAAAACACAACACAACAGAAACACACCGTGTTGAAATGTCACTGCTCTGAGGCACATTCTGGTGCCTGAATTTGCAGGTATTGCTCCAAAAAGAATCCCAGAGCTCACACATTTGAAATAACAAACAAAAATAATGAAACAAAAAATTATCAGAAAGTTTTAGTAACTAATTTTCCCGATTTTTAGAAAAATTCTGTTAATCTAAATATAGTGTTTCACAGAAAACAAAGGTTCTTCATGAAAAGGTTTGCACATCTAAAAACCTCTGTTACAATAGGTTTGCTCACGATGATCTCAGGGAGAGCGCAGGCCAGCGTCCTACTGCTCCTGTGGAGGAGGGAACAGAGGTTAGTCTGTGACGGCAACTCCTCAACCCGCCCTGTGTCTCGGCGACAGCGCCGAGGAGGTGACAGGTCACCCTCTCCCCTCGGCTTGCCCGCAGGCGCTGACAGACAAACGGGCCGATGTCTTGGCACCCTCCCCGCCTCGAGTCGTGGGATCTGGCCCAGACAAAACCCCCCTGAACAGGAGGCCCTGGCGCCTCTTTCCGCAGGGCCCTGGGCGGGGAGGTGGGAGTGAGCTGGAGACCCGTCTCCTCGGTCATCCCAGCCCCGCCGCCTGTGAGCCCAGGCCCAGAAGGCACACCTGGCTGTGAGATGACCAACCAGCTTTGCGTTCAGGGTCCGCAGAGACCTGACCAGCACCAGGCCACCTGAGACACGCAGCTGGAATGCGCCTTGCGCGAGCAGTTGGTCCTCCGCCCACATGAAGCCGAACCTGTCTCTGGCCTCTGACCAGACAGCCTCCAGGGTCCTGGGCAGGATGAGGACCTGGCGCCATGCCCTGCCTGGCCTTCAGGTGAGGACCCGTCCTCTTTGCGCTGCCCCTCACTGCACACTGGGGCCAGGGTGACAGCCTGGTCACACGACCCTTTTCAGAAGCAGAGAGGCATGACTGCCACAGGCCCTACTCGCAGTGCCAACCTTGCCCAGAATCATCTAAGCTTGGCAGTCTCACTTACAGTTGGGGAAACTGAGGCCCAGACAGAGAAGGTGTGTGCTGCTCAGCACCATGGTCTGGGCCTGGCTCTGAGGGCAGATCAGGCACTTCCCACTCCGACCAGCTCCTCTCCCACTCGGCCCGAACTCGGGGGCGGGCGAGGAGGGGCCAGGCCGGAGGCTGGGAGCGGAGCGTCAGGGCTGGTTTGGGAAGTGTCCGCGGGGCGGCGACTGGCTACAGACCTGGCTGTGGGCCTGAGCTTGCCCTAACGTCTGCCCGTAGAAAGCGACCTGCTGTCTGTAATATTCCGCCCAGGCCATCGTGTAGTCCGGTGGAGAGCTGGCCTGAGGAGCAGCACTGGCGGCGTGACCTGATTGACAGAGGAAAACACAGGGGTCATCAGGAGCAGGGACACACTCAGGGGAGGTGAAGAACACCGTCAGCCGTGAGGGGTGCCTTCCCCAGACTCGGGGCATCTGAACGCGCCCGGTGCTCTGTCCCTCTGGACACGGGGCGGCCACCGCGCGCCATGGCAGTGTGGCTAGCCCTGTGTCTGCTCTCTGCAGGATCACGCGCACCTGTCTGCCTGCCTGCTCAGCTTCCGGCACCCAAGAGAGAGGGGAGGGACAGGCGGAAGGGAGTGTGGGCCTGGGTGCGTGTCCGGTCTAGAGAGGACTGGCCATCGGGACTCTCACCAGGTGCTCAAGGTGACGATGACCTCCCTGACCCCGGCCCCCGGAATGGCCCTCGACCAGTGAGGAGGCCAAACCCCAGGGCAAACGTTTCCTTCACAGCCTTTGACCTGAGCTCCTCAACCAGCAAGCTGCAGCCCCGGCCTCCAGCGCGGGAGCGCACGCTCCACCAGCACCGAGTCTGGGGTCCGTGAGCTGGGACATACAGGGAGGGCTAGCGCTAATTTTAAATAATTCACTTGGGGTTTTTTTGGATGTTGTTACTAGGTTTTTTCCTTCTCCTTCTAAAAAAGCTGGTTTAGTTTCTGGCACAGTTAAGACCAAGAGCTTAATTAATAAACACCTCAGCACCCTCTCCAACTTCAGGCTCCAGCCTGGAGCTTCAACTCTGCTCCCTTCCCCGCCCTGAAACGGCCGGGAGAGCCGTGCAGCAGCAGACAGGGAGGAAACGGGCTGCCCCGCTGGTCTGAGCCCTGGCCAAGCAGATCTAAAGGGGACGGCCAGGGCCGGAAAGCTGTCCCGTCTCGGTGCCACACCCACCTCCAGACCCTCTGGAGCCCAGAGGGGGAGAACAGTGACAGGGGACGGCCAAGACTGCACGCCATCTCTGACAGACACACAGCGGACAGAGGGACATGAAAGCAGGCATCCAGATCAAGGCACAAAGTGAAAGCGGCAGAGAATACAGAGGTAACAGGGAACACGGGCAATTCCGTCTGTGGGCCTGGGGCTCTGAGACTGGGCCCGCGTGGCACTCACTCTGCTTTTTGTAATAGTCTTCCCAGGCCTTGCTGTAGTCGGGCTGGCTGCTCTGCGGCTGGCTCTGCTGGCCTGTGCGAAGAACACAAAGGCAGTCAGGCCTTCGGGCGTCCTCCGAGCCTCAGCCCCCAGCCCGGCGACTCCAGGCTCTGCTCTCTGCACTCACTCCTTGGCCCCTGGGCCACACACAGCACTCCATGGCCCGCTCCAGGCCCTGTGGCCCAGGAAGAAGGTGGCAGCAGGCTGGCCGCCAGAGGACATGTGTCAAGATCCCAGAGGGGCTCCACCCAGGCCACCGTGGAAAGGGGGCACCTAAGATCCCAGGAGGCCGGGGCTGGGCAGACTGCCGGCCCTCAAGGGGCAGCAACTCTTGGGAATAGCCTGGACCCCCTTCAGATGGGGACTCGAACGAGCTGCGGGTACGCAGAGCCCCAAGGGGCGAGGGCCTCTGCCTGAGGCTCCCTGGACTGGCCTTCGAACAGGACTAAGAGCCTGAATGGAGCTGGCCACAGTCTTCAGCTGGCCCCTGTTCACAGGCCGCTGGCTTTACCTCTGGACAAGCTGAAGTGTAGGAAAGAAACAGGGAGATTGCCCAGAGCCTGTGCTCCAGACGACGACAGAAAGACGAGGTGCACACAGCAGAGGGGCTGACGACTACAACACACACCTGATCCCAAGCAAGCCTCATGCCTTTCTGGGGCAGGAGCCGAGGGGGAGAGGATGGGTGTAGGCTTGTTCCCGCCCCTCTCCTGTGCCTGACTTGGGGTGCGTTCTCTCGGTGGCATCGGCAGTAAAGATGTGGGTGGGGGCTGCAGAGGAGCAGCCTGCCCAGGGCATAAAGAGGGTCAGAAGACCAGCACAGCAACACGTCGGGAGCTCGCCCTCTGCCAAGGTCATTTCCCTGTCTTTCTGGGCTGGAATCAGCCTGCAGCAGGCAGGATGCACATGCCAGCAAAGCTTTCACGGCAGTGTCCCCACTAGTGAACTACTGAGGGCTGAGGAGGGGCGTGGGGACGAGGACAGTCTGTGTGGGGCTGAAGAAGGAAATGAGGCGGGGCGGGGTACAAAAGGGGAAAAGACCCCCTCCTCCTCCCGCACTGGGGCAGGAAGGGATTCAGACCAGGATGCTGAAGACAGGACGACCTGGTGTGGGGAGGCCAGGAGCGAGGAAGGCGGCAGCAGGAGCTCTCCCCTCACATAGGGGGGCATGGGCATGTAGGCGTTCCCCAAACAAAACTTCACCAACCAAAACCAACTCTCGAGTCCCAGTCCCCGAGTCAACGGGCAAAGCTCGACGGCACAGAGAAGCTGGAGACAGCCGCAGAACCGAGGTGGCTGCTGCTGGGCGCTCTGCTCACCCGTAGGCCTCCACCAACCCTCCTGGCCTCCTGGGCCGGCGGGCAGCAGCGCCAGGCCCCTGCAGAACCACGCCCCCAGGGAGAAGGACGTGTCCCCTGTGCCCTCGGGGTAAAGACACGCACTCGCTGCAGTCCATGGCTTCACTCAGGCCCTCCGTCCTGGACAACAGGCAGAGGTGTCTCGAGCTGGGTCACCTCGCATCCTGGGGCACCCTCTGATTGGAACAGGAAAAAACGCAACCTGACCAGGCTTAGAACAAAGTGGGTACAGTGCCATGGGACCGGGAGGATCCAGGTGGCGGGCAGGTGTTCATGTGGAGGTCTTTAAAACATTCTGCATGTTTAAGATGTTCCATAAGAAAATACTGGGGAAGAAAAGGAGAATACAGCACAGGGCGATTTCAGAGCTCGCAAGTACTCTGGGAATCAAATCGCAACCCTTCATTTCAGAGAGGACAAAACGGACCCCAGAGAAGGGGGGACGTGCCAAAGGCCGCAGGGCACCGGCCTTGGCTCCTCTGGGTACAGCTGCGAAGGTGACCAGGTGTCCTGTCCCTCGGCAGGGTTTCACAGCCAGCACTCTGCCCCTGGGGCCGGGGAGGAGCCCAGACGCAGGCTCAGCAACCTGTGAGCAAAGCTGCAAGCCTGGTGTGCAGCCCGCCATGCTGGGAGGACAACCTGCAGACATGAAGAACTTTCCACACACCACAGGCTGGCTCTTCAGAGGGCCCGGGTGAGCCAAGGGAAGGGCGTGGCTTTATTTTGAAGGCTGTGCAAGACGCGCTCTACCAGCAGGAAAACTCAAGAAGGACTCCCGAGGCCAGCGTGGGGGCCAGAGTCGGGCATGGGTCTGATTCCACAAGGACTTTGCCCTTTACAGTCAGTTTTCTTGGAGAGGCACCGCTCAGCAGAGCTAACTCTCTAACTGGGCATGTTCTGAAAAGTCCAGGAGATCAAAAGAGCCCCTTTCTAAGCCGGCGCTGGAGAGAAAAGAGGGAGATGGTCACCTTGGGGCTGGGAGAGAGGGCGGTAGGGACACCCAGCAAGCAGGGGGCTGCTTGGGAGGGTGAGGGGAGCGGGGAGAGGGCTAGGCGGAGGTGTGGGCACGGCCAGAGGGGCAGGGCCGGGCAGGAAGGGCTCAGGCCAAACCACACCCTTGGCCGGCCCACAAATCCTTCTGACCCATTTGTGACAGAATGCGGGACGAAGTGACAGAAGCCCATAGCTCTGAGAAGGACAGGGAAGATGGGAAAGAAAGGTCTGAGAAGGTGGGCCAGCCTCCCTTGGCTCTGCCCAGCTGGAGAGGCCATCTCCATAGAAGCCTCCCTCCGTTCCCCAGCCCCTCCCAGGGGCTCCCAATGTCCCAGGAGGCTCCCCGACGTCTCCGGGCTCCCTTGGCCTGTTGATTAAGACTTGGAAGGAGGGTGTTTCAGGCCCACCAGCCCCTGGACCTTTCTGTAGGCAGGTGTACAGTCCCACTTCTCCGAGTCACTTACCTGGCACCTGCTGTGTGGGCTGCTGCCACGCCTGGTAGGTGCTGCCCCACCCCTGGGTCAGAAAGGCCGGAGGCCCGCTGTGGAGGACAGAAGAGTCACTCGTTCTGAGGGGGGCACCGCCCTGCCCTGCATCCACCTCCCCTATCCCTCCAGCATCTCTCTCTTCACTGGTCACCTCCCCCACCCCTAGGCAAGCACCACGGTGGTCCTGCCGGCAGTGGCCAGGGGATGACCCCGCTCCCGCAGGCCCTGACTGAGAACTGTGTGCACAGAGTAGGGCGGGTCGCCTACCTCACAGGGGTGCTGTGGGGGTTCCCGTTCACCTTAGCAGCGAGGTTGGGGAAGCACCCTGAGTTCCTGGGAGGGAAGGTGCTGAAAAAGGGAAGACACATGAAGACCGCAGACTGAGGACGTAACAAGAGCGCCACTGAGACCCCACCCACGCCCCGGCGCAGGCGGGGGCTCCCCTCGGGATGCTGGCGGGCAACAGAGACCCTCCGCCCTCCGGGAAGGCTGTCACCCCCAGCACTGGTCAGTCAGCTCTGGACAGGCGGAGGGACCACTGGGAGACGGAAGCACAAGTCCTGCCCACACCCAGAACGGCAGGCTTTCTGGCGGGCACGCTCCAGAAGCAGCTGGGAAGCAGAACCTCTTGGGAGCAAGGGAATTCTTCCAGTCAAGACCGAAGCAAAAAACTCACTTTTGATGAGGTGCAGCAGGTGGCTGGCTGAAGGGGCTCTGTCCGAAGGCTCCAGGTGCTCCGAGACTGGTACCCTGTCGCAGGAGGAGGGAACTCTCACTTCCTGTCGGCCGCGCCTCCCCGCTGCCCAGCCCCACCCCAAGGCAAACCACAGCTCTCAGGAGCCAGAGTCCAGTGAAGTGAAGACACCCTGCGGCACTCACACTAGCTTCCTTCCCCACAGGGGCCTGATGTGCAGACACGGCTTCTGCCCCTCAAGGGACCAATACCACCACACAGCCAACACTGGCACCACCACAACTGCCCTAGCATGGCACCCTGGGGGTAGGGACCAACCTGCTTGACTCTCCCGTCAATTTAGGCTGGCCCACGGCTCTTTCTGCCATTCTACGTCCCCTTTGAGGTGAGCAGTGGCCCATCTGTCCTCCATCAACACTCCCTTTCTTTATCTGCTTTGAGGCGCCTGAAACTAAAGCCAGAGTCAATGAAAGCTGCCTGCAGGGCCGCCGCCGGGGCACTGCCAGCGGGGTCCGGGGCGGCGCTGGGGGCAGGCTGCTGTCCCAGCCGCTCATCTAAGCCTCGGGGACATGGCTCTGGGGCCTGAGCTGCCGTGGCCTGGCGACTGCTGCCAGGCCTCCTTGATGGCGTCTGGGCCCGGCCTTGGGATCCCTGGACCCCGACCTGCCCCCTCGGCAAGTCGCGGGGGGCTGTCCTCACATGGTGTGAGGTCTGAAAGGCACACGAGTACAAGGATCTGGGGAAAAGCAGGTACCTTGGACATCCAACAGAACATCCAGCTAGTATTAAGCCAGGTGGGGAAAGGACCTTGTACGTACGCCAACTTTCTCATCTATGAGATGTCTGGCCACCTCGATCTGCTGAGGGATGCCCCTGATGGTGAATATGCGAAGGTTGGGGTCGGTGTTGGGAGGCGGGTTCCGCTGAAGCTCCACGTGGGCTCCCGACTGCTGGTTGATGCTTTTGATGTTCTCGCCCCCTGCAGGCAGGAGGACACCAGACACGAGTGAGTGGTAACTGACAAGCCCAAAGCTCCTGCAGCCCTGCCCCAGAACAGGAGGGAAGGGTACTGCCTGCACACCGGGGCGCGCCTAGAGCAGGGAGTCCTTTCTACTTTTATAACGGTCCTAACAGAAACCAGGGCTCTATCATTTGCAAAGCCAGCCATATGAAGTGAAGCCACAGACACCATATGGCACCTGCTAGTGCCCATCTCAGCATCCTCTGCAGAGGCCTGGAGCGGCCCAGTAGCCCACAAGGGAGCTCGAGGGACAGCCACTCCAGCCAGAGGCTTTAGCCCAAGGAAGGCACTCCATCCTTCTCAGCACAAGAATGGCGACCTGACAGCCCCTCCAGGGCACAATGGGGGCCTACGGCCCTGGCGTGGGCCACCACACCGCTGGTCTCCCTCCCACCGCAGGTCAGACAGACAGCCATAGGCCCCAACAATGCCCAGAGCCCACGCGGGCCTTTGATAGCCCATCCTGTCACTTCTCAAGCCCTTGCCTCCTCCGTGGGGGGGACAGGTCTAGACAGGCAGCCCGAAAATGGGGGTCACAGAGGCCTGCATGGAGCGGGGCTAATGAAAATTTAGTTGGACTCTTTGAAAAACCTGTGAGAGTCTCAGTCTCTTAATGAAATTTGCGTAACAAAAGCTCCACCAGTGCAACAATGGCTTGATTCTTCTTTTGAAATTTCACACAACTTACAGATCAGCTCTGCTCAACTGGAGCGGAGCCAGAACACAAGGCAAACTCAGAGCACAGAGTTCTGCAGAACTGAAAGAGCCAATCTGTGGAAAGCGTGCTGCCGGGTACCAGGGAGCCCCCGCGACCAAAGGCACAGACGCGAGGCCAGCTCCCACTACCCTCCCTGCCCAGAGTCAAAGCCCAGTGGCATGTGTCATGGCATCGCATCACATCACATCGCAATCCTGTCAGCACTCCAGCCTTCCCTCCGCCCCTTGTGGGGACAGCCCATGTCCACACAACCCAGCGAGGAGGTGGTACGGGGACACCAAGAGCAGGCAGAGCCTGCTGCCATCTCATCCCGAAAGAACGACTCCTCGAGAGGGATCAAGAGGCGACAAGGGAGCCTGGGTCCAGCATCCCTCCCGAAGGCGGCGTGCAGCCCCTTCCCTGTGGGCAGGAAACTAGGAGGCAGACGACACTTGGACGAAGCTTTGCTCAACAGCAGCTTGGGGCGCACGGCAGTTCAGTTCAGGGTGCTTTTAAATGTAAAAGCCAATTAAGAAAAGAATTCAGCAGCTCTAGGTCTCGTGCTCAGGATTTTCTTCAAGTTCTGCTTCACTTTAGGAAAAGCGTCCCCACATGTTTTCCCTCGAGCCAACATGCTCATCACAGGGACAGCACCAGCCAACGCGGAGAGTCCGGGCCTGTAACCACTGCCTCTTACTCACAGATTGGGACTCTCATCCTCTCTGCATCATGAAAAGTGAGCTGCTCCACTCCTAGGCAACAGTGTTTCTGGGGAACCGCAACAGCAAAGGATACATGGAGACCTTTCTCCTGCACTCCTGGCCCTTGAAGGCACCTCCCAGCCTCTGCCCGGACGCCACTTGGTTCTGGAGCAACAGCGCCAAAGGGCGCGTGTGTCTGAGCCTGGGAACCCCGCAGGCCCCAGACGAGCCCCCACACCGGGCACTGGGAGCGGCAACCCCACAGACCCCCTTCCCTGAGGCCTTGGGAGCATGCTAATAAGGTGCGGAGGCACCACAAAACCGCACGGGGCCGGAAGGAGTTAATTTAAGTTCATCGTCCTTCAAAATGAGGTCACCAGCTTGGCACATGGTGTCTGTCTATAGACTCATTCAGCAGCCTGCTCCATTCTTCCACCTGATGGGGGGCAGAAGCGACCCACCAGTGGCCCCCCGGCTGGACGTGAAATCGTAAAGCAATTAATCAAACCTGCTAAAAGGCCTGGCTGACAAGAGCAGGGCTGGCCACACTATCTGTCACCATTGCTGTATTTATCATGGAAATCCAGCAGGGGCCCGGGGAGGCAGAGCGTCTGCCCAAGGCCTGGAGCCGGCGGGAGCGGGTCTGACTGTGTGTGGCTCCCTTCCCCTCCCTCACCCACGCGCCCTTCCCAAGGAGCAGGAATTCCTCTCATCCAGCCCTTGAGGAGGAGTACGGAAAGACCCCCCACCTCAACAAAACCATTACTGGGCTTTTTGAGGCTGCCATTGGACCAGGACCCAGTATCAGTTACTGCTTCGTTCTGCTGTCACTTTCCTCCGGGAATCGCTCAGGATGGCTTTGCAGAGGGCAAACTACATGGGGCTGTCCTGGGAGCATCACGGTTTCACTGACGATGGCTAAGTGTCCAGCGAAGACAGCGAGGCTCTGCCAGCCTCTGGAGGAAACACGCACCCAAATGAAAACCGTGCTGACAAAACGGTGCTCAAAGGGCAGGAAAACCTAGACCTCGTTCTCAACCCACGGGCATCAACTGCGTTTAGCCTCACGGCAGGCAAGGTGACAGTCTGACCTGTCCCAGCTTTCGGGCACCTAACAATATCCATTGAAGACTGACCAGCCTGTACACCTTGCGAGAAAATTAAATCCTCATGGCTCCTACCACCTGAGACGTTAATGACCTAAAAGACGACACAGATACAGGAGATATATGTTCTGAAAGAGCGTAAGACACAGTGTCCAGTGGCAGGGCCAAGTGCAGATTCTGGGAGGTGAATGAGAGGGGCGGAGGGAACTCCCACCCTGCCCCCGCTCCCCAGGATGTGCTCCGGCAGCCTCAGCTTTCCATTCATGGAGACATTCCCAGATCGTGTTCCGTGGAACCCGAGCACTCCTCCAACAGCTAAGAGGTGTTTGGTGATCAAAGAAACTGGAGAAACTCTGGGGAGAAGACTGTATTTCCTCCATGTTGCCAAATACATAACGAAGGCAAATACAAGAGCTGGCAGGAGGCTGCGGCCAGCGCACAGAAAGGCTGAGCCTGCGGCCGGGAGAAGAGCTGGAGACGAGAGCCAAAGTCCCGCTCTCGGCAGCCTTTCTCGGTCCCAAGGCCAGCCCAGAGGAACAAGACACGATGGCCTAGAAATCCGCCTGCTCTCTCCCTGCTCCTTACTGAAGGACAGGAAGGAGCCACATTAGCCATTAACAGGGTCTCTACCGAAGGTTCTCTAAAATGCCTAGAAACAACTAACAGATCGATTTTTATTTTCCTCCACAGGGTGTCTGTTACCCATGGTAAATGTGCTGAAAGGATAAAAACCATTTTCATGTGTTGTGTCAATAAAGAGCAAATACCTAAACCCAGTAAGAGAAAAAATGCCACGATTGTGAGAAAGCAACCTCCACTCGAAGAAATGATCCTAACCGTCCCTCTAAGTTCCTTGGGGTGAGTTAACTACTACCCAGTCGATCGGCAAGCATTCAGGGGCCCTCACCTAGTGCAGGGTGCCTTTTCAACACCCTAAGCTGCTAGGACAGGCAAGTCTCACTCATAGTCTGTCTACACTCGATACCGCAAACTCGCTCTGCAGGCACTCGGGAGAAGCCCCAGGCACAGCGGGGCTCCTGCAGAAGGCAGCGCACATGGCGGTGCAGCGCGGGAGGCAGCTCAGCTCCACGCTGCGGAGCATCACCCGTGACCCGTGTGCTCTCAGGCCAGGGAGCCGGAGGGGCACAGCTGCCTCTTACCTTTGCCTATGACGAGGCCACACTTATCGGCCGGCACTGTGTACGTTATCTCCTGGACGCCACCAGGAGTTCCCACACTCCAATCGCCACGGCCACGGCCTCTTCCTCTGGCTACTGCAAGGCCTCCGAAGCCGTCTCTTTCCTGGGAAGGAAGCAAAGCCCAAGTGACGATTTCTGCCACTGCCACAAGCACCGCTTTTCACGTCTTGGGAGGAGGTGAAGTGACAGGATGTAATCAATGCCACACATTGAGAACCTGAGCACTCTTCCACATTTCAGATTCTAAAGTGCTCTTTAAAGCCAGAATTAACACAACTAACAGGCGCATTCAAGGAGGACATGTGCAGATCAACACATGCAGGTACATAAACAGCACAAACAGACCCAACTAAAACAGGCAGTCAGATATCAACTCCCAAGTCTGAAGCCCAATGCCCTTTGCCCCGAGTTTTAATTACTGAGCCCTAGTCCACAGGCATCAGGAGCCAATGTTCTTCTCAATGCTGAGCCTGCCCTTTCCTGTGCCTAACACGTGCTGTGTCTACCGGAAGCCAGATGCTGGATGCTGAAGAGCTACGGGCATCTGAAAGTGAACAGGAGTGGCAACGTACGCCTTCTGACCCTTCTCCGACCAGGCTGACACAAAGAACAATTCAGACAGTGATGTATGAGTCAGAACACCTTGCAATCCAACCAGAAAAAAGGATAAAAGGATTTTCAAGAAACACTAATGTGCCACTCCCCAAAAGAGGGAGGCAACAAGCCAGGCGCTCCGGCCCACGGTTCGGGGCTGGAGAAGTCTGACTGGTTCTTGCACAGCTCCCCCAGCAGAGAGCAAAGCCCGCACCCAACACCTAACAGAGGAAGGTGACTTTCTTTCGAGGACAACAAATCTGCAGCCTTTGTCGTCTGGGTCACCGTGGAGCAGCAGTATTTCAGATCTTTTAACTGCCGAGGGCAGCCGTGGCCAAGCTGTGAGCTCCCCCATGGAAGGGAGAAGCCACACAGGCATCCACCACGGTGACGGAATACGTGCCAAACCTGCTCACCAAACTCAACGTTCACGCGGACTCTAAAGCAGCAGAAAGTGAGATCGGCAGAGTGCTTTTCTCCTGCACTCGGCTTTTATGGGAGACAAACGACAAGCAAGAAAGGTAATTTTAGGGATTTATGTTAACACACACACAGTGCCAGCTTTCTGGGTATGCCACAGACTCTCGAAGACAAGGTTCTCTCCTAAACATCTCGCAGCCTTTGCTGTTCTGGTTCATCAATTCTCACCCCTAGACAGGATGTCAGAGATCATTCAGCGACTCTTCTCTGCACTTGTCAAATCCTAAGACCTGCCTGGGACTCTGGGTGAAACCCATGCCCCACCACCGGTATTCTGAATCACCAGATCCAGGGGGGTCTATAAATCTGTGACTTCAGCATATACCCCCAGAGGACTTAGGGGGTAACATGGGGAGCACCACCTGGTGCAAAGCTGTAGGTTTGCTGCTGAGAAAACTAGGCCTAGGGAGGTTCAAAGGCTGTCCAAGGTCACGTGGCTAATGGCAGAGCTGGGTGCCAATTCCCAGTGTCTTGCTTCGTCCTTCAGCTCCAACTGCTCTCAAACTTTTGCTTAGTCCTACACATCTGGGGGACAATGCCAACCTACCATCAGGTGCGGAGGTTCCCAAGAGCAATTCACATCTGGGGCAGGTGGAGACGCCAATGGGATCACACAGGCTTGCTCACATTCCAGAAAAAGACGCACACAGAATCAAGTATGTGAAGACAGCCTTAAGACCTTGGAGGATCCCGAAGTGCTTTCTAAAGCTTAGATTTGATTGTACTTAATATAATTTTATACTAAGTACACTCGATTGTTTGAAACTTGGCAGTTTGCATTGTCTTTTCCCAAATAGTTTAAATAGTCAGGAACTTAACTGTGTAAAGAAACTCTAGATTCTGGAATAATAGAGGCAGAAGAGTAATAAACTAGCAGAAAAAAAAAATTATGAAGGCAGGAAACAGGCAGACATAGAGAAGCCACTGGCTATAAATTTAGAGGGAGACAAGTGACAAGAGCGCCGGCTTCCAAGAACGTGACTTGGGAGGGCTGACTGCTCTCGGGTGCTGCCCTGGGAGCCCGCGTAGCCCTGTCTGCTTTCGAGGGTGAGATGCCTGAAGCCCAGAGAGCCGGACCTACCTGGGCTGTAAGAATAAGCTCGTTGATGACATGTGCTGCGTGCTGACACCGATCTGGGGGTCCCATGACCTGGGCAGCTCTCTCTGGACTAATACCATCATCTGTGGAACAAAGTGAGAGACAGGAATGGAAAAGCCCAACTTAAGAAAGAAACCAAAGTCCATCTGATTTGCAATCAATATTCCTACCAGCGCCAAAGGGGCACTACAGACATCACCAGATTCAGAGAATCTTTTGAATGGGGAAACACACGGGGCTACTTTTTTTTTTGCATGGTCCATGTCAATATTCATTTCGTATGCAATTACAGCATTTAAGAAAGATATCATTAGATAAACTAAACTTAAAAAAAAAAAAAAAGCCAAGGAAAATAGAGTTGAGCTACCGCAATAGTTTCCAAAAATTAGCCCACCATAATGTCTTCTCATCTTCAGAGAAATGAGGAAAATAAAGACGATGTAGATGATTTTGCTCATAAAGGTAAATTTATAAAACTTAAAGAATTGTCTTTTATTCTAAGATGTCCTTTTTTTACGGTTTTATCTTTAATTTTATGAAATCAAAATAAGTAGGGTGTTTTTTAAAGTTTTTAATTGGCAAAATTAGAAACTGGAAATGCTATGCCGATTTCTCCCAATTTTACTCGCCTAAGGGAAAAAAAAAAAAAGCCTGGAGAGCCCTGGGCCAGTGTTCTGGCATGAGAAGGGTGACAGGCTAGCCTGCTCAAGGACAGAAATGAGGCACTGGAGGAGAAACTTAGATTGGTAATTTGGAAATAGAACATCGTGAGAGAGAGAGAAGAGAAAAGAACACACAATGAGCTAATTACAAAATCCTTGTTCTGTTAAGTACTTTATAATTCTTTTTAACGCTAAGGACTTTTGAGAATCATCAAGACCAACCTGGTTTGAACTGAATCCTCACACCGGCATCATTCTGGATCTTTTTGATCATTTCCCCATTTCTTCCAATTACAATCCCAACAGCAAACCTAGGCACAGACACCTAAGCACAGAGAAACAAAACCTCATCAGAGCTTTTAGCAAACCTGTCTTTTCTTAAAGGATATATATATATTTTAAAAAATTTTTTTTTCTGCTTTTTCTCCTCAAACCACCCCAGTACATAGTTGAACATTCTAGTTGTGGGTCCTTCTAGTTGTGGCATGTGGGATGCCTCCTCAGCATGGCCTGATGAGCAGTGCCATCTCCGTGCCCAGGATCCGAACTGGCGAAACCCTGGGCCGCTGAAGCGGAGTGTGTGAACTTAACCACTCGGCCATGGGGCCGGCCCCAGGATATATATTTTTAACAAAGAACTTGATTTGTATTGCAGTGCATTCCTGGAGAGATACAATAAAGCATATTTTTTGCACTTAGGAAACATATTGTAGTTGATTTCACTCCTGTCCATAAGTCTGAGATTTGATCAAAATAGCTACAAAAATGAAGCAAGAACAATCCTTATAGATAGATAAATGATTAAAAATGGCAAATTTACCTCCCAAATTCTATGGAATAAACAAATACACCATATATGTTGATTATGCTAGTGGTTCTTTAAAATGCTTTTTCCTTCATTTTTTATTGTGTAAAATACACACACCAGTTATCATTTTACCATTCTCAAGTAGACAGTTCAGTGACATTAACTGCATTCAGACGCTGTGCCAACATTCCTGTCATCTGCACCCCAAACCTTTTCCTCACCCCCAATCAAACCTGCGTACCCGAGACAGCCGCTTCTCCTTCCCCAGCCCCTCCCAACCAGCACTCCACTTTCTGCCTCTAGAATTCGCCTCTTCTAGGGACCTCATGTAAGTGGGGAATCATATTTGTCCTTCTGTATCCGGCTTATTTTACTAAGTATAATGTTTTCAAGGACCAAAGTGTAGCACATATCAAAATTTCACGCTAATGCATAGATTTTGACCCCATTCCACCGCATCAATAAAGCAGGCTTCCTAGTTGGATATCATCACAACACAGATCACCAGGACAAGCTGAATTTTTGTCTTCGCTGGGCAGTGGGAGAAGCTCTGAAGCACAGCCGCAAAAGCAGGGGGAATACAGCGGCTCCCTCACTCAGGCGGCCTGTCGCAGGCCTTCCTCACGCCCACTCTGGGAAGTGAATTTGTAGGGTTTCACAGGTAAGACAAAAGTTCAATAACTTGCCGAAGGTTAAACAGAAGCGTGACCTCCAACCATAAGCCTAACCTCATCCCACTGAGCCGAGGTCAGCCTACCTCCAGACTGCCTCCTCCCATTCGGGAGCTGAAGTCACCGCGCACACCTCGAAAGTCAGCTTGGTCTTTTTCTCGGATGATCTCTAATACCATTTCTCTTGCTTGCTGTATAAAGAGATAAAAAGCATCACGGAAAACAAAATCCTGAAAACGACAGCAGGTGAAATGTCAAGATCTAACCCTCTTAAGTTGGGCTTAAAGACTCAGGGCGCTCAGGTGCAGTGACCTCACTCCGATACTATATTATGGGCTAGGGGCAGGTTGCTGGTGAGGGTCGTATATTATCAAATCTTAAATGACGTGTCCTTTACGTTGCCCAAATGCCAACACAGATAAGGGTCCACCCTCTTTTAAGCCACAGTTGGGTCAGCATATCTGTGCTTGGTCAGAACTTGGTTACGATCACCCTGAGGCGTTTGTGGCGTGGCGTTTCTTTCTAGTGAGGGGAGGGTTTCCTGAGAGCTCTGACTCAGGGCAGGTGCCATGAAAAGAAGACAGTATCCCAGGTGTCCCACTGCAGAGGAGCTCCAGGAGGTAAGGGGGAAAGAGAAGCTGGGCGCCTGATAAGACTTTCCAGCACTCAGAGCTCCCAGATCTCAAGCAAGACCGGCAAGACCACCCACCCCGCAAGCGGACTGTCAGTGTCCTCTCCCCGAAGAAGGCCCTTCGCTCAGAGCGTCCCTGCAGTGTGCCTGCCCACACCGGTCCCAGCCCCAGGAATCTGCACTCAAGGGAAGGTGGGAACCTGGACTGAGTTCTGCTTATGGAAAAACCAAACCAAACAGTGATCAGCGTCTTAGGACACGTGGAGAAATCTGAATATGCCCTGGCTACAAACAATGCTTTGCGATCACCGTTAATTTTCTTAGGCCTGGTTTTGTAGAAGGAAGTCCTTACTCCTAGGAAATAGATGCTGCAGGATTTAGGGGTAGAGAGCCCTAACACCTGCCACCCACTTACAAATGGTAAAGCAAAGAGATAAAACATAAAACATACACAAATAGAAAAACGATAGGAAGGATGAAGAAATAAAGTGTTGGTTGTACTGTCTTTTCAACTTTTCTGTATGTGTGAAGTTTATCATAATAAAAAGCTAGGGAGAGAAAACAAACAAACAAAACTTTACCCTAAATACAGTAAATAGCTTTTCCCAAATAAAAAATGTGAGATATAGGTAGTTTTAAAATAAAAAAATAATAAAAACCCTTTGTTAGAGTTATTTCCTGCAAATTCATGAAACATCAGTGAACTAAGCTCTTTGCTCAGGTTATTTTTTCTACGAAGCCAATGGCCCCAGCAGAGGGGAGGGGGAGGGGGAGGGGGAGGGGGAGGGCGGGAAGGCGGCAGGGCAGCAAGATGGCAGGGCAGCAGGCGCTGCGCTGGCAGCAAGCTCCCAGCAGGCTGGCTCTAGCTCTTTCCCGAGAGTTCCGCATGGTCACAGGGTTGAGTCCACGAGCAAGACTGGACGAGCAACATGATTATTAAGAAGCCCACCTGTTTACCCTTGGGGGGCTTAGAAACTCTGGGGAGGAGGCCCTCGGGGGCCCTGGTCTGCAGGAGGTGGGGGGTGAGGGGCTGCATCACACCTGGAGCCCAAGGAAAGAAGCCATTTGAACCCCTGGCCCTCAACCCTGTTTTAAAAGCACTATTTTACATATGTACCTGACAAAAAGAAAAACTACCAATGATATCAATTTGAGGTCAGCTGAACGACAGTGTCAAGAATTGGGGGAAATATTTCGCCAGAGGCTGGTGACCTCCACTGGATCAAAGCCCCGAAGCTCCTAGGGAGGAGCAGGTGCCGCTGCTGGCCCAGGTGCGCCACCCTGGAGCTACTGCAAATGCAGCAGAGTCGACGCAGGCTGCAGTGGGCAGCAGAAAGAGCAGGCCTATTTCCCGGGGACAGACACAGCCCTGCACCGCCGCCACGCACATTCCTGCTCACGGCAGGAGATGGAGGGAAGAATGCCCCAGGTGACTTAACTCAGCCTCTCTGGGGCCAGCGCGGTGGCGCAGCGGTTAAGTTCACACGTTCCGATTCTCGGCAGCCCAGGCTTCACTGGTTCGGATCAGACATGGCACTGCTTGGCAAAAGCCACGCTGTAGTAGGCATCCCACATATAAAATGGAGGAAGATGGGCATGGATGTTAGCTCAGGGCCAGTCTTCCTCAGCAAAAAGAGGAGGATTGGTAGTAGTTAGCTCAGGGCTAATCTTCCTCAAAAAAAAAAAAAAAAAAAAAAAACTCAGCCCCTCACTGCTTTCCGGAACTGGGGCTGTCCTCTGTGGCTGGGAGCTCAGGACACAGGATGCTTGCTACGAGGGCACACATGTACATGGCGGTGGCACCTTTGCTCACTTCCCACCTCAGCTGGAGGTCTTGCAAAAATGGGCCGGGAGACAGAACAAGCAAATAAAAGCCAAACAAACCTTGCCTTGTAGGTCAACAAATTGAAAACTGCATCTGGTCAGCGCTATGCCATCCAATCAAACCTTTTTCATTTATGAAAATGTTCTGTATATGCACCGTCCTCATGTGGCTCTTGAGCACTCAAAATATGGTCAGTGTCAATGGGGAACTCAATTTTCATTTAATCTGAATTAATTTAAATGTCACATGTGGCTGGTCGCTCTGGAATCAGGCAGCACAACCCTAGATTCTTTTCATCATCAAACCCGGCTTGGGCAAACAGTTCACCTTAAATAAAGGAACATCTGTTTTTTAATTTTTTTTTTTTTAAAGGAGATGTCCACATGCTCGAGTTGTCAGTACCCCACTCTTTCTTCCTTTTCCTCCCCAAAGCCTCAGTACTTAGTTGTGCATCCTGGTTCTAGGTTACTCTAGTTCTTGTATGTGGGATGCCACCACAGCATGTCTTGATGAGCAGTGCCTAAGTCTGTGCCCAGGATCCGAACCAGTGAAGCCAGGGCCTCTTAAGTGGAGCATGTGAACTTAACCACTCGGCCAGGGGCTGGCACTATAATTTCTTGAATGACATCAAAGCTCTACAAGTTACTACCAAGTGGCAGCCCACACCCAGGACCTGCCCGATCCATGGTTTTTTTCCTACCTGTACTTTAAACGGGTCTCCAGTGATGCGAAGAGGCTTATCTGCTCCCGTAGGCAATGGGCCATCCTGGATCATGACCATTTTCACACCTGTCCGCTCCTGTGGGGGCACAGGCACAAATACAGCCCTCGCTGTCATGAATAAGAACCTAGGATGGCAGCAGAAGCTGCACAGGGTCGGGTCACGTCCATAGTAAGCCATGTCCCACCTACTACAAGGCACTGCCCTGCCCCAGCCCATGAAGCGGGCCCAAGAATGCTGCCACACAGGCCGTGCTGGAGAGCTGCCAAGTGAGATACAGCCACTTCCCAGAACTCTCCTCCTCCGCCAGTCCCTAGGACATCCAAACAGTAAATGAACACTAGGCACAGAGCGCAGTGCTGTTTCACATCGCCAGGCTGGAGCTCGCGCACAGCCAGGAGAGGGAAGGGTTGCCGGCTCCCCAGTACACAGACGCAGAGGCTCTGAGGCAAGCTGCCCAAGGTTCCCAGGGCTGATGCGTAGGGGACCAAAATCTGGATACTGGGATTCCAGACCCCGGACTCCTAAAGTCCACACTAGCGTGCCTTCCATGGTCCGAGGACTGGGCTATGACAGAGCACACAGGCACGTCACAACCCGACCTGCAACTTCAAAAGCCCAAAAGCTCTGAAATAAAAATTTGTTCGTAACTAATTTCGCAGCACAACTAACCTGAACTCAAGTAAGCATATTTCCAGCCCTCACTAAGTGTGACACTCAGCCACAGAAACACGCATGTGATTAACAGGGCGCAGCCCCAGCACTCGCTGGGGTGTTAAACCCTGAACCTGTCCGGCCCCACGTGTGTCAGAGGAGGGGCTGTGGAGCTACCAGCAGTACTGTTTGTGCATCATCTGCTCAGGAACGGGCTCTCTGCAATGGGTCTCAGAGAAATAGAGTGTAACGGGTCTTCTTCCATCTTCCTTCCGCCAGGGAGGCCGGCCCTTCCCGACTTGTACAGATGAGGACCCGAGTCCTCAACGAGGACACGAAGTTATTCAAGATCTCACAGCTAACGAGGGGTGTGCTGCTGGCTCAGAGCCCCCACTCTGGACACGGCATTTTTATCTGAGATGTTGCTGTCAGGCGGTAAAAGCGACCCTAACAGGGCTTCACCGCCACGATGGCTGCTCAGGTCCACGGGGCCCAGGGCTCGGCAGCACACCGGAGCAGTGGGGGAAGCCTGAGTTAAGACAACAGCTCCCACACGGGGAGGGAGGCGGCTGAAGGCCTGCTGAGGGCTGCTCTGCTGAAGGCTCACCCACCTGCAACTGCTTTATTGTCTCCCCGCCTTTGCCGATGACCAGGCCCACTTTCGACGCGGGGATGAGAAGCTCCTGGATGGTGCTGCTGCCGTCCACGTCGTTATGAAAGCCAGGGCCATTCCGACAGCGGTCTACAATCTGGCCCAGGAGCCGTTTGGCTTGTCTTTGGGAGGGAAGAGAAGCAGGTCTGAATGAACGCTCTGGGTACCCAGGAAAAGGAAGCAGCCCCGGGGGGGAGCAGGAAGGAGGAAGGCAGCCCTCCATCCAGCTCCAGCTCCTGCCCCACAACCCGCGAGGGCTCTGCCATCCGCCACACCACTGGGCTGGAATTGAAAAGTAACACACACCACAATACCAACATGCCAACACAGCCCCTCCCAGTCTGCCCTCTGCCCGTGCTTGTGTCTTGTATTCACTCCACAAACACGTCTTGTCTCCTGAGAATGCCAGGTGCTCTGGTGACAAAGACCACTTTCGATTCCTTTGCCTATCTCTCTGTTCCCCAGTCCAGCATAACCCTTCTCACAGAGCATACACTCCACAGACATTTGTTAAATAAGGGAAGAGAGAGAACAATGAGAAGGAGGGGAAGAAAGAAAGCAGGGGTTAGTAGTCATCATTTGAATTCCCAAACGCCACACTACTTCTCCACAGCCAACCAGACTGCTCTGACTTTTAAGCTCAGGCTACGAATCACCAGTTGGGTTTCAGGGGTGGAGGGGCGGCAGCAGAGCCCTGAAGCAGCTGGACAGTCACACCCAGCTGCTTGGCGCTGTGCACGGCCGATGTTCAGGACCCCGCATCTCACCTGCCATGCTGTTTGGCGCTGACTTATCTGGAGGCGGGGGGAGGAGCTGTGGGGCTGAAACATGGCAACCCAGCCTACCGAGGTCATCTGTCGGCCACTTCCCTTTTCTGCACCAGAAGCTCCCCTGCTTGTCACTTGAGGTATTTATTCTTTAAGTCACCATGTACACTCTATTTTTTGGTTCCTTTAAAAGGGAAGAATTCAGCTACTAAACAGGCTGGCTGTACTGCGCACTGAAGAAAATCAAACTGTTTCCTCCTAAAGTTACAATCCCATTGCCTTGACTGCTTGGGTAGAACAGGAAGCAGGAATGGTTAGAAGAGTAGAAAGAAAGAAGAGAAAGGCAGGAAACAGAGGCTGCCTTTTGTAGTCTTCAGCCTTTGTGTACAGACATCAGCCTCGTGTATCTTCTCAGTTACAGCAGCTTTTTAATATTTTGCTTGTGTACTAGATTAACCTGTGTTGGAAGAAAAATGCCTCAGCTCCAGCAAAACCATCCCGCTTGCCCTATAATGCACACCTGCCAGCGATATTTATTCTGGTTCACTGCTTGCAATGTTACAGCAGAACAAGAAAATTCAAACTCATCTGGGCTCCCTGAGAAATGGAAACAATAAAACAGCCCTACCTATTGAGCCAGACATAATCTCAGCACCCCGTCCCCAAATGCAATGCTACTCAGTAGATTGAAAGAGGAAAGCGAGCAGACTCTAAGTTAGTACATCCCCTTTCCCCAGGAGGTTCTTGGATTTCTGAGGCCTGCACCTGGTACCAGGCTCTGAGCATGCGTATTCCAGGGTAAGAAAGCAATGCTAGTCTTAAGGCTGTTGCAAGGGCCCCAAAACTCAAGACACCCTCTGGCCGATCCATATGGCCCTCTGAGTGGAGCAATGGCCAGGAAGAATCAATGTATCTGGTTCACAAATACCAGAAGGGCCAGGGGATCAGCCCCAGGCAAAACTCTGGTACCAGTACTCTCACTGGTTCACACAGTGACAGGCTTATGAATCAGACCTGCTCGGGTAAAGGAGGTATTAACAAGGAAGAAGTAAGTTGATTAGAGCATTCAGGAGGGGTGGGAACCTGGTTTATGAAGTAGATGTTATGACAGTCGTGAGATACTCTGTAGGGTTTGAAAAAAAGGTGATACCTTGTGTGTTTAAGGTAAAAGAAAAACTCCCCTGGCATGGCAACCTCTGAGATCCTTCTCTACAGAAGCATCTGCTTCGGTGGCCAGACTGCAGCATAGATCGACAGCGCTCAGTAACAGTTCTGCCTTCCCATTTCTCCCCATTTGGGGAAGGAGGAAGAGTGAAAGGAAAAAGTAAATAAAATAAACTTACTCAATACTTTCTGGGGTTCCGGTAAGTACACAGGGCCTCTCTGGAATCCCAGAACTCTCTATAAGAAGAATCAAGAAGATGAGGTGTGTTGGTGGGCATCAGGCAAGCGTGCACTCTGCCTCTGTGCGCACTGTCTCTCCGGGCTGCTTCCTACGCAGCCCCACAGAAGCCCAGGCTCCCAGGAGAAGACAGTTTGCTTCCACTTGTGGAGACAACATGAAGCTGGGAGCTCCACTCTAGATGCTCAAAGGAGAAACAAGTCCTGCAGGGGAAGGTGAGAGGCGCGGCAGGGGTTTCTGAGTTGGCCCTAATTACCAGTCTCAGCTTCATTTCTGACCCACTTGTGGGCAAATAAGTGTTTGAGTCACTTAACCCGCTATTCCTCAGTTTCTTCATTTGCAGCGTGGTTTCATGGTCATTTGTTTGCAAATAGCTCTGAGGTACAGTAGTAAGGAATTTCATTATATGCACATTAGGATTATTACCAATTATTGCATGAATACCCCAAGAGATCAGTGACATCTATGTGGAACTGGTTCCAGGCCATTTGACAAGAGAGGAAAATCTTACTTTCCAACACCACCCATGACGCTTTACTTTGTTCCTAAAAAAACTGTCTCTTAAAATTCTTACTCAAAAAAAAGAGAGAAATACCTAACAGCAGTTACTGCCTTCGAGACACTGTAATAAGTATCTTTTAAAATGACAAAGATTTCTCTAGTTGAATATTCACCAAACCCCCTCCTCCACTGTGGAAAGAGGTCAAACTCAAATTAGATGCTAAAACTATAAATAAAATTAAAACTCTTCTTCCTCTATCCGTCTCTGTCCATATCGCACGGTCAAAACGGACAGACCTGGGAAAGGTCCGAACTGCGTTTAACACGCGCTCATTTAGCCAGAACCCCCAGCTGGCCTCCTTCCACAAAGGGCAGGGCCTGCTAACCCAGGGGAGCCCGTGAGAAGCCCCCAGGAGGGGTCTCAAAGCCACAGGACTCCTCCAGGCCCCAGCATGCCTGGAATCACGTTCTGGTGCAGAAAACAGAGGCCCTACACAGCAGGTGTTTGGGAAGGGCCGTGCCGGGCCACGGATTGTGAGCGTCTCCCCGAGAGGCCAGATGGGCGGCCTCATGTCGGAGCCCATTTCTGCCCTGGTCTTTCTGGCTCTCATCTGGGAGTCCAGCTCCAGAGGTGCAAGGAAAACAGCAATCACATGTACTTACCCAGGCCCCTAAATTTCCAAGCAACAAGCAAAGGTACTAAATCTGGAAAACTCTGCAAAATACTAATTTCTATCAAACTGAGATATATGAAAAAAAAAAAAAGCCCTTACCTGAAGCAATCTGAATTTTGCAACCCGACTCTGCTTGAATCCGTGAGATCTGCTCCCCTCCCCTGCCGATGACTGAAACAAAGGGAACGGGGTCAGGACACGCCCTCATTCCATGCTGAACTACGGACGAATGACTTCACTGATTCAACACATATACACAGTGCACTCAGCACTACAAGTCAGCTTGGCCTCAGCGAGCCGACGGAGATCTTACGTGGAGCACAGCCGACCGAGGCAGGCACTCTAGCCCAAGTGAGAACAGAGGCGGAGCAGGGGATGGGGTGGGGCACCCAGGGCCTGGAGGGGGACCTGCAGAGCTTCTGGGTGCTAGAGGACATAGTGTGCAAAGCATTCTGCTACAGGAGACACTCACAGTGAGAGATCAAAAGGAAAAGAACAGACAAGAATTAGGGGAAAAGTGGATAATGCGGATACTTACTAAATCCAACCATTTTATCAGGCACTTTGAATTCTTCTGTTATTACTGCCCTAAAAACAAAGAACATTTTGGAAAGACATATAGAATAAAGAATTTTTCAGCCATTTTAGGTTCCCCCAATTTCCCATATTGGCAATGGTGGAGGATAAAGGCTTAAAATGAATCACGCCAATCCGGGCAACTAGTCCCCAGCTACGAACAAGAGCACCATCTAATGAACCCTTCGGGTGATGGCTCCTTGAAGAGACCTGAGCCTCCCCACCCTTGCGTTGGAGGAAGAAACCTCTGGTTTTTCATGAAACCATCAACTCCACTAACATCTGCCTTTTCTTCATACACCTACTCCCAGTAATGCTTAACACTGAAGGATCCTTTGGGGTTTGGAGAACGCTTAGATTTGTATTCTGGTCTCCTCTCTAGATGAAGAGATACTCAACTTTTCCGCAACATTCCTTCTTTCCCATCTTGTCATTGCTCTCTCTCCTACCTCTAATTTATCTATGTCTTTTAGGATGAGATGGCCTAAGCGGAACCAGTATCCAATGGAGGCCTAACCAGTGTTGACCAGGACAGAATAATTACCTCACTTACTCTGCAAGGTCCTTTTGTTAAATGCTATCCCATTCACTATGGGTCTTTTTTTTTTTAAACAACTACTGTATTGGCTCTTTCAAATAAACCTTCAAATCTGCCACCTAGAGTAGTGTGTACAATATCCAATTTGCCCAACACCCCAGAAAGCAATTAAATCTAAACATGTACCTTAGGAGGAAGCTAAGTTTAAAAAAGCTAAGTTTAAAAAAAGGTAAGCACTTTCAACCACCCCTCACATGGCTGGATTTCCACCCATCACAGAAAGGACGAACAGAGTGCATGTTCAGGGAAACTGCAGCACTCAGAAGCAATGCAAGAGGGTCAACAGCACTTGCCACAGGATCACCCTGACGAGCCAACAGCCTTCTCCCCGTGGAGTTTACACCCTCAGCTTTATATCCACACAGGGATTCTCTCCACCTCTTGGGATATTCGAGTTCCCCCCGAATTCAGGCAATTCTGGGGTTCCTAATCAGTCACACTGTGGAGGACAATGCCACGCCTCGGATGGCCTAATGCACGCTGAAACAGACGCGGGGCCCTGCTGGGACGCGTTTCCTGACTGTGATGAAGGCTAACAGTGCCCTGGAAGCGCAGCCGCGAGGCCGCTGCTCTCATATGTAGCACAAGCTGTCTACGTTCAGAAACATTCCCTGGGGAATTTACTAGAAAGGGTTAAACACTATCACAATACAAACTGTCATGAAACTCAGGCAGTCCCTCAGCCCTCAGAACAGTTCTGGCAGACTTTCTTTGAGGAAGAAATGTCGTAAGACGAGCTGCTTTGAGCTTCCTGGAAGACAGAGCTCTATTCTAAATGCAAGGCTGAACTGTGCGGAACGCACTAAGTATACACATTTTGGAAAGCAAAATCCTGGCAAATTGTGGCTTTATAGGAAAGTTACATTTGATACTGACGACAATCTCATTTAAATTAAGTCATTAAAAAACAACAACAACGATGACAACAAACCCAGGATAAATCTTTTGGTTAAGGGATGCCTGGTGATTTCTAGAAACTCCCAAACATTTCTGTAGAACAGAAGAGGACATAATTGTGTCATTGCTGGTGAAGGCTAAGGATAGCATGTTACAGTGAAGGACACACAGCACAAACTGTCAGCCACTAGACAAGGGAAGCTGTGGCCTGGTTCCCTGCAGGCTTTATCCTTTTTGAAGGATAACGTTGTGGCCAAATATCCTATCTTACAGAATGGTCTTTTAAAAGCTTGGTCTTTGTATCTCTCTAAATCCTCAATGTTTAAGGGAAGGCTGTGAGGGGAAACCGAGGCAGGGAAACAACTGGGCACTTATCCAAGGTTCGCTGGCAAGTCCCTGTCACTACAGCAGGGGTGGACCTCAGGGTTCTGGCTTCCCAGGCCTGGGTCTCTTGAGTACCAAAGCTCAATCTGCGAAAGCCCGACAACTCACACCTCTTCGGACGCCTTTTCAGGTGAAGAGGTTAAAGATTCATAAAAAAAGTCTAAATCCTGGGAAAACCATCATACCAGGAGGGAAAATTTCCCATTCTCTCCTATTAAATTAAACGTCCGCGGGCAGAAAGAGCAGCTCTGACATTCTAGAAGTCTTTTACGTCTACATACAATAATGGCTGATTTTTAATACCTCGTACCAGTTTATCCCTCAAGCTTACACTGTCTTGGAAAGGGCTACAAAAAACTTGAGTCTTAAAGAAATCTAGCCCATGGTTTTTCACACTCTCAACCTCTGACTTTCTAACACTCTAGTACAGATGGTGGATCAATAAACAATTAGAAATGATCAATAAATAATAAAACATAACCCACTGCTTACCTTTGATGTACCAGGGCCCCTAACTGGTTACCTACTGTGGCAAAGAGAAAGAGAAAAGAAAAATCAAAGCATTAGCACGGATAAACCAACTTCATCCTTACACGAGTTCTTAGCATTTCAGGGGGAAAAAAAGAAAAGGAGAAAGCAAGCAAACAGTAATTTAAGCTCAGTGGCTGAAATGAATGCGTTATCTGATACGAAACAGGAGGGGATGTCTTGATCAACACAGTCTCTAACCCAGAGTCCAGCTGAATGCAGGATAAGAAATTGATCTGTGTGTCCACACGCTGGGCGGCCTGGGAGAAAATCCTGCTCACCCAAATCCCTGTCACCTCCTACTCCCTCCCCTCTGGACCCAAACTCATGTAAAGACGGAGGGTCCTTCTCTTTGTAAAACAAATGAGAAGATTTAACCTCCTGGCTCAGAAGCGTGGTGGAGGACTGCTCCCGCAGCTGCCGTCTCCAGGAACACGCACATATGCTCTGCCAGCCGCGGGGCACCCGCTTTCTCCCTACCCTCCCAAGAGCATAAACAGCTCAAGGAGAGGATTCGGCCTCCTCCCTCCTCGAGCCTCTTCACTGACCCGCTGTAGCAGTCTGCATGCAGTGGACACTAAGAACGAGCAACTGCCTTTCAAGCCCATTTCACAGAGACAACAGTGCCAAATAGCCTCTTATTATGAAAACCAACTCTGTAATCACATTCCCACAAAACCACTTTAGCTATGCTTTTTGTTCCAGTTTCTCCTCTTTCAGCCATTGATGAGTGTCTCCTTCACCAGCCATCAGCAAAAATGATTCTGTGGTGTTTCTCTTCTGGAAAATGCAGCTCAAGAAACACAGTCAGCAGACAATGAAAAAGTATAAATCCCAAACATATCAGAAAGAACTGAATGAATCTTACAATATGCTAACAAGAGCATTCAAACATCCATCTCTGGGGAAAGTTCCAAGAAGGAGCGAGATGAGCTAAGCGGGGAAGATCAATCATAGCAACTTCAGAGCAAAGAGTGAAATGGGTAACATCTGAAATACAGGAAGCCAACTGCTCGTCCTTCTGCTTGAACTTAAGCCTGTCATTCTCTGACTGGACAGAAACTGGTCAGAAAAAGACAAAAGAAAAGAAACCAAATCATAATATTTCAAAAGGAGAAGAAACAGCATAGAGAAACAATGCTAGCAAAAAGTAAACGAAGCTATGAGTCAATACCATATTTCTTCTGGATCAATAGCAAGATAATGGTCTGCAGCCAAAACATTGACATTACATACTGTTAATCTGCTTATCTCAGGGATAAGAGAATTGTTTTTTATTGACTCTTAAAATTTTCTTCTTGCATTTCCAGTCTGAATATGACAAACGCTCTCACTTGGGGTAGGTAGTGTTCACGATTCTCATTCCATGTGAAAACTGGACAACTATCAGCTTAGGAAAGGAATCCTCGTCACATACACAGCCCCTACATGTTGTGACAGAGGAATGTCCACCACCTAAGGCAGTGGGTATGAAAAAACACGCCAAAGGAGAGCGTCCATGAAAGAGTACCCTCGAGTTTGGTTAGCTGTTCCTATGCAGCTTCCCTGCTTACTGTGAGAATTCCTCTCGCAGGGTAAAGAATCCACTGAAGACAGAGGAACCAAATGTCTTCAAAGGACAAGAACACCAAGGAGAGGTGCCTCCCCCCACAGGGCAGCACAGCCACACCTTGGCTCTGGGCTGCCTGTGCTGCTGGCTAAGAGACGTCCAAAGGCTGACGGCCTTCGCATACCTCAGCCAGAAAGGCCACAGAGAGAGAGTAAAGGGCAACACCAGCCTCGAGAACATTCAGAGGGCTCCTGGTCAAAAGCCACCTGAAATTTTGTGTTCATCACAAAAAAAGGAAATTCCTTTTTGTTGGCAAAGTATATGTCACAGGTGCCACGAACACAGAATCAATTCTGACAACCAACTGCTTTGCTAACAACTGGACGTGTTGTAACAAAGACTGGAAACAAAAGTGCACACACTACCGTCCCACAGACAGACAGACTGCTGAGACCACACCACCCAAGAATGAAACCAAATTCAAACCCAGAGTCAACTCTTTGTGTTGGTGGACTCATAAGGAGAACAAATTGTCTCCCTCCTCCATATAAATGCTGTGGCCCAAGGTTGAGACATGTGATTTGAAGTTTCATTCCCTTTGCAAACATTCCCATTTGGTGCCTAAAAATGAAAACCAGCAGTCAGATAAGGGGCGCTGGGTGCTCACACAGCAAACTGATAACGTCCAACTCCACGAACAGGGACCGCTCCTCAGTTTCATGAAGAGGGGTCAACCGAGGGAGGCCCATGGGAACACCGATCAAGCTCAATTTAATGGTAACTACAGTCATTTTACTGTAAAAAAGGAAAAAGGCTGAATAAAATCAGTCCTATTTCCCGCTAATGGCGTACGTTGGTCGACAACGCTTCATCTTGCCTCAGAAGTTCACCTGTGCTCACTTCCAGCACACACGCGTAAACACACGCACACAGGCGTGGCGCTCATTTATCGTGCACGCTACATAATGGGAAGCTGCCCGGGCTACGGAAAAATGAGCTTCCCATAGAAAATATTCATGCTACCATATGAGAAATGCTTTCTCAAGAGTAATACTATGCCAATTTCAATAATGGTCTTTGAAAACATAAGGCGGCTGGACACATTTTTTCCCAATAGAGAGGAGAAAAAAGTCTTCATTTTTCTTTCTCCAAAAGAAATGTTAACAAAATATCACTGGGGAACATACCCAACTTTATAATATGCAACAATTTTAATAGTTAATGCCCATCAACACCTCAAAAAAGCCCAAAGGACAGCACCATTGCTCCCTGTAATGGCACAGATGACACGCGGGCGTCGCGCACGGAGCAGCAGACTGCGGGCAGGTGAGTGAGTTGGTCAGGAGAGAAAACGCCAGCAGTTTTTATAGGACTGGCAATACAAATCAACAGACCGAACCTCCCTCTTGAGACTGTGAGGAGCATCCCCCGTGGCCTTCCTGGGGCTCGGCCCGACGCCTCTCCAAGCCCCGGGGAAGGTCAGCGTGAGGCGGCCACAGAGATTTCTGAGGTTTTCAGAGCCTTTCTCCTAAGGACAACACAAAGGCTTCCTGTGTTCTAATGCAGCAACTCTAAGCCCAGGGCCACGGAACACTGACACGTTGGAGTTCAGCTGAACATCCCTAGACAAGCAATCTGTTACTAATTTTGGAAATTATTATTTTTTTAAAGTGAGAGTGAATTAAAGTCTATCAAAATTAACGTCACCCTCACCGGCAGGCCTAGGATGCTTTTAAGTCAAAAAGAGCGCCCTCACTAGTGTCCCTAGGTGCGTTCCCAGACGCCAGCATGCATGAGGTCACCCCTCGAAGGAAGATGCTACTGTCGCCAGTCCCTTTACGGCGAGGAAGGCGCCCCACACCCGCGCTCTCGGGCGGCAGAGGCGGGGGCCAGTGCGCACGTGGACTCTGCACCCATCTCGGCTCCCTGTCCTTCATTTGGGGAGTTTCAGCATCATCATTGTTAATTCTGTGATACTAATCCTTTCGGTCATTCTTCATTCTACAAATTGGTGGCTTTTGAGCATGGGCACCATGCCAGGTCCTGGGGGTGAAATGGCAAGGTCACCTCTGCCCTCAAGAAGTGTGCGGTCTAGTGGGGAAGCAGAAGCCTCCGTGATGAGCAGCGACCTATCCCAGTCTAGGGGTGCGGAGATGTTAGGGATCCTGCCTGCGCTCCTCCCCAGGTCAGGTGCCTGCTGGGGGCCTGACCCAAGGAGCACTGGAGTAAAATTAAGAGGAAAAATAAGTCTATGACTTATTTACAGCATTATGTTCATTTAATACAGTGGTCATGACATCAGTGTAGGGGGTCAGGACCAGCTTTATTAATAAGTGAAGTAGAAAACAGAATGTATCATATATAGTAAGGATATAGATTTCATAAAGCTTTTATTTCAACTACACGTTTTAATATGTGTGTACTAACTAGTTCTGATAGAAATATGAGTTTCACACTGTGAGTCAGGCATTTTAAAAGTTGAAAATAACTTCCTATAATCCTTATGGTAATCTCATGAAGTAGATATTACCTCCACCTTACAGGTGAGGAAACACAGTGGTCAGAAAGGTTAGGCAACCTGCCCAAAGTCACACAGCTAACTGGCAGAGCTGGGATTCAAACCTTCATCCAGCAGACTTTGGGGTCCACTCTTCAAGCACACACTATTAGGGCACATGAGACAGAGATCCAGGTTCAGCCCTCCTCCTACCACTTCTCAGGCACCTGCCTTGGTCAAAGCACTTCTCCAGACATCTGCGACACGGACGCCCAGGACTCCTTCCAGCAGTGACCTTTTCTCATGCTGCGCAGGCCTCCACCGCTCGGTCTCTTCACCCCAGCAGGCACTCACCTGTCCTCCATTGCAAGAATGTGACAGAAATGGGAGCACACAGCACGGAACCTGCGGGGACGGGTTCTGCACTAGGTCTAAGGCCCTAGAGATGCAGCCAGGTGGTTGTGTGCATCAACAGTGTGTTCCTTTTTATTACTGAGTAACAGTCCATCGTGTGCATGTCCCAGTTTGTTAACCATCCACCTGCTGAAGGACATCTGGGCTCTTCTTAGTTTTGAGCTATTGCAAATAAAGCTGCTGGTGGACAGGTTTTTGTGTGAACACAGGTTCTCTCTGTCAGGGATCAATGCCCAGGAGTGTAGCTGTGGGCAGAATGTAAGTGCATGTTTAGTTTTCTAGAGAGGCTGTACCATCCGATGTGTTTTAAAAGCTTCTTGGGTGGCTCTCACAACCAGCTGGGGTAGAGAGCCACTTTGGGTCAGATATTTTCTGACAGAATTTTGAAAAAACTAAGAATCTTCTTTTAATTCGACACCTGAATTCTTTCCCTAGGTTGACAGCTACAAAGGATACGACAGGTACTGTGATGAGCTTAGTCATATCTCTGTTGCAACACTGCTGCTGCGGCTGCAACTCACCCCTTTCTGTGGAAAAC